TTAATGTTTTCTATTATATTTATATTCTCTAAAAGTTAGCTCTGCAATGATGGGAATCCTTAATGGTGCAATGGCACTTCCATTCTACTTATTTTGTGTTGGAAATAATAAGTGTATGTTCTACCACTTATTCTGATGGCATATAAATAATAACATTACAATGATTTTGAAATTAGAAGTTAAAAGAGAAAAAAGTTAAAGAACATAACAATTAAAGAAATTTCAAATTGACCAAAACATAGATAATTTTTTGACCAAATGACAGGATGCCATAAATACATGTTATGATTATATTAATCAAATACTAGCAGTGTTTGAAGTGAAGGGGAAAATAGTAAGAACTCAAAGCAACCAATATGTATGGAACAAGGCACAAGGCTAACTACTTCCTAACTGTCCTAATTACTACTTCCTCTTCCACATATCAAGCTAGAGAAGAAAAATAACTTTCCCACTCCAGATACACACATATACATATCATTACAGCATAATCTAGGGTCAGGGAGAGCATCTGCTCCATGTCTGAACTTGGAAAAAATCACATACTGCAACAGTATAGGAAGACCTATAGTAGAAAAAATCCTGGGATAGGAATCAGGATACTTTTTTCAAATCTAAGTACTAATTAGCATTAGTATTAATTGTGTGACCTTGGACTAGTCACTTCACCTCTCTAATCAGAGAAAGGAGGTAAGAGAAGGAAGGGGAAAGGGAGGAAGTGGAAAAGGTGGAAAAGGAGAAGAGAAAGCGAAAGGGGAAGAAGAAAGATGAAGAGGAAGAGGAAGGAAGAAGGAAGAGGAGGAAGAGGAAGAAGTAAGAAGAAGCAAGAAGAAGAAAGAAACTGCAGCACTAGATAATCTCCACTTTCGCTGGCAGACAAACTAATACAGTGAACATATTATTTTGATCACTAAATTCTTAGAAAGAAAAAGGGGATGTCTGTAATCTTATGGTAACACTGAGATCTGATGAGCAAAGAAGGGCAAAAGGAAGTAACACCAACTAGTTCACATTAGGTAAAAATCAATGGGATAAGTACATATCAGGATTGAAGAATAATCTATATCAGCCAGGACTGAAACGCAGAAAATGTTAGCATGTATAGAAAACCTGTTCAGCTTCTCTCCTTTTAACTCTCTCTGCTACTCAATTTGATACCTTGTATTCTAATTATTTGTATACATGTTTTATATCTCCCCTACTATTCTTACCGAGAGCTCTGATCACTCTATTTTCCTTATTCTGCCATTCTAGTCCATTACTGCAGCTCTAATTTTACTTTCAGTCCTTCCTAATCTTGACCCCATAAATAACCAGTTTAATTGCCTCATTATCTACCTTCCCCTATAACTTCATGCTGCTGAGCACTGATGGAAGAAATCTTCATTGATGAATAATAATGCTGTTATTCTTCCCTAATTCTTTTCTTCATCATCACTCCAACCTCCCTCTCAGTCTTCACGTCTTGTTTTACTGAAAAAAATTCAGACCATTTGTCCTGAGCTTCTGTTTTCCTCTGCCCCACTCTATTCCCTTCCTCTAGTCTCAGATAAAGAGTTGGCTATTTTCTTTGCTCAAATCAAGATGAAACCTCTGATTCCAAGCTTTCTCCTTCCCAGCCTCCTTTCATTTTTCTCCCTCTCTCAGTCTCATGTCTTGACAATTCTATCTCAATACATTGTTCACATCCTTCCCCTTCTCTTCACTCATATCTCTGTTCAACTGGAGCACTGAAATAAACTTCTAACTGCTCTCCTTGCTTCTAGTCTTTCCTTTCTTGAATCTATCCTCCAAAAACAAAACAAAACAAACAAAAAAACTGTCCGAAAACACAGGTCTGATTATGTCACTCCCTATCTCAAAAATTTTCAGTGGCTCCCTATTGCCTCTAGTATGAAAACTTGGCATTTAAAATCCTTTATGATGTGACATCATCCTATTTGTCCACAATTCAATATGAGAGCTGCTAAATAGGAAAAAAGGCAAGTGTATAATCCAGTGAAATATAAGTACTTGAGGGCAAGAAGTATTTTCTTCTGGGGTTTTGGTCGTTGTATTCCCAACATGCAACAGAATTCCTTGCACATAGGAGGTGCTTAATAAATGTCTATTAAATTTTAATAAATTTCTACTGAGTATTAACACCACAATACAAATAAATACAAATATAAGGGTTTGATCTGAGAACTCTTGCACAGGAAAACAAGGCAAGATTTGGCAATCTCAACATTACAAATTTCATAAAGTTTTGCCATTTCTTGTCCTATATATAAAGGCTATCATAGGGCTAAGGTACTTTAAGACCAAAACACAAGCAAAAAATAATAAAAAATATTATATTTAGTATTTTCATCAATTTTAATTTTTGTTAATAATTAAGATATTTGCAAGGCCTTAGGAATGAATAGCCAAAGAAGTCTTACTTTTACAATTCTTGCTCTTTCTTTAAAGTGAAATTTTATTTTAACACGTTTTCGTTTCCTAGTGAGGTAGGTTAGTTTGTAATGCATTTATATGCTCCCAAAATATACACTAACATTTTTATTTTATAAATGTGTGTACATGTGTTTATGATGTGCTTTTCTGCAGCTACTTTTTTAGTTTGGCAGAAAAAAACTAAACAATACGAACATAAACATCCATCTTTATAGATTTAATTTGCTATCTCATATGTACTAGAGAAATAAAATATGAGTTATAACTCAATCACCATCTTACAGTGCTCTTTCCTTTTCAAAATCCTGACACAGAAAAAAATGTGATAGTTTTGCACACAGGCAAATGACAGAGCCTGCATAGGTAGTTTGTAATTGGACAATATGTAAAGGTTCAAAAGTTCATTTGAGGATCAGTTTTATTGAACTTCTTGAGCCACTGAAGAAAGCCTCAAGGCTTTCTTGAGGATTTTATTACTCTCTACTTTGGGTAGACTATACAATACTCTCTCACATTTTTAAGTAGAGCATTTTCATTTTTGTCAGACTGAGAGAAGCTATACGCATGAAAATAAATATGTATGAATATATACTTTAGAAAGCAGTGATTTTCATGTTTAAAAAGTTGTTTCTGCCTTCATTTTGTGAAAAAAGGAGTCATTAAAAATTAAATAAAATGTATAATTTTTTTCTAAGGAGGTTATTTTGTTTATTCAAAATCAATTGTGAGTCAGAGAATGTATGAAAAACACCTTTTAAATAATTTAATTTCATTAATATGAATCAATATTTAATTTTGATATATTATTTCAGATGACTTGTATAAATCATGCACTAACTCAAAAATAAGCCTAAATATTTCAGCATTTTATGACAGACAAAACATTTAGCCTTTAACTTAGCTCTGTTTCCTCATATAAATGATTGGGCATTAACCATATGGATAAAATACCCAGTCATAGTTAAATGGCATTATGTCAGGTAATTATCACTTGTTGAGTTTTTGCTCTATGTGTGGAATATTAGCTTATAGTTCTACCAAGTTCTAGGTAGGGACAGCAATTTTCCATAATTTTCAGATAGAATGGTGTAAATAAAAAGAATACTAACTAGTTTTGGAGCCAGAAAATATAGATTGAAGTTGTAGCCATAATAATTATGCAAACCATAGCAAATTATTTGACCTCTTTGAGATTTAATTTCCTCATCTGTCAAAAGGGGGACAATGAGGATTGTTGTGAGGAAAGCATTTTATAACTGTTAAAGCACTATATAAATGTGAGTTGTTATTGTTACTTGCATAACACATACACAGGGAAAAACAACATCTCAAAATAAACATATGGCTTGGAATAAAATCAAAATTATTTGCATAAATGATTGGGGGCCAGAGTGCCAAGAAATTAGTTTCTAATCATATTTTAAAACCCCTCATTTTCACAATAACATTGTGGGTTTTTTTATATGTGTAATTCCCATATTCCCATTATAAGATGAAAAATCAAATTCACGGGAGTTTGACATTAAGAGAAAAGCCAACCATCTGGTATTCAGCTAGAGAATTTACTTATAATCTTCTTTGTTTTATTTTCCTAGTGATATTTCCTTTCTAACAATATTTTATAGGCAAGATATTCCTCTTACCTATAAGATGATATTAAGTAATGCAATTCCACATTATGTGCCCAAATTAGAGTGAGAATTTCCTACAATACAAAAAAATTATATTTTTGTGTTCTTTTTATAATCACTTTTATAGACATGCTAATTAAAATGAAAATGTTAGCCTAAATTATATATAATGTGCCTTCTAGTTCTTAATGTATATGTATTTATGTATTTATATGAAAAAGCTTTATAACTTTGTAGGATTATCTAAATGTTACAGTAAATAAAAAAAAGGTCTCTTTAAATTATATTTTATATCTTTTTAAAAAAATATCTCTTTGTATGGACCTACTTAATGAAGATAAGCACCAGCTCCTTTAAAGCAATAATTTTCAGTCACAACCTTTCATTTTTAAAATCACATTTTAATCTTCTTTTGGAAAAGCATTATCTCCTTCCTTATTCATACACTTCATCAGATGAAAATTCATTAACTACAGAAAACAAATTTTTGATCAACTAAAGGTTTCATTTGGCAATGAATGTGACTATCTCCATACAAAAGAGAAATATTTCTCTGAACATGCTAAAACAATAAATGGTATTTGAACTGCTGGTTGAAAGGTAGAGGCACTGGTAATCATTATTTCGCCTTGTTTGTTCAGGCCTTTCCAACAAAACAAACAACCTTTTTGTGATTGGATTGACATGGTGTTAACAATGCATTTAATGCCCAAATCAGTATGAATACAGGTAAAGCTCTCACTAATACCAGGACCAGGATGTTAAAGCCACCTATTTTCTAAGCAACTCTAAACAGCCAAAAAAAAAAAAAAAAAAGCCCTGTAGTCCAATCTCCCCTCCTTCAGCAAACAAGCAAACCCTCACCAAGCCACGTCATATAACATCTTCACATATGATCCATATGGCCATCTGTGAAAGACTGATCTACTATACCTGCTGTCTTTTCAGCAATTTTAGCTTCTGTTGCTCTCTCCAGGAGTTCCAGCTCAAGCTTTAATGTCTTCACTTCTTTACCTTCTTGAGCCAGTTTTTCTTGAAGCTGAAAACATGTTGAAATGAAGTTTCTTATCTGATTGGCTTTCAGGATATAGATAATCAACTCCAAAGGAAAACTTCATATTATCTCTCAAATGTACTGTTTAATCATGCATGTTTTTTTCTAAAGATGATCATAAGAAATATCATAAGGATTTCATCATGCTTCACATTAATCCAAAGTTTTTTATATTCATTATAGAAAGTCTGAAAAAAACCTTCTGAAATTTTTTATCAAGGCAAAAAATAACATTAAAATGAATAAGTACCACTAAGAATCATATTGGCTAAAGAATCATGAACATAATAGGTACTTAATAAATGTTTTATTTAACTGAACTGAAGATAACCTCAGAAGCTAATCTAAGTCATTTTGCTGTTTTTATAAGACTATCCACTAACTATGGTACTGACTATATTTTACTGCCTCACTTATTAGTTCATTCCAATATCTCATAAGTCTTAAAGTTAGAAAGTTAATCCTGAAGTCTAATCTAAATCTTTACTGCTGCTATTCAAGGATCTTCTGGTCCTAACCTAAGTGGAAATACTAACACAATGCCTGCCACATAGCAGACATACAATAAATATTTGTAGATTGACTCAAAGAATGAGCTGCTTTTCTCTTTCTCCCTCACATAAAATTGCTCCATATATTTCAAGACTCTTATTAAATTCTCCCTTAGTATTTATTTTATTTTTTTTATTTTCTAGACTTTCATCACTTCTCTTGTTCTCTTATAACAGAGTTGGTTAAGTTTTTTGTATCATGGATTCCTCTGGCAGTCTACTGAAGCCTACAGATCCCCTTCTCAGAATAATGTTTTTAAATGCATAAAATAAAATACATAGGATTACAAAGGAAACAAATTATGTTAAAATATAGTTCTCAAAGTAGTAAAGAAAAAAAAGTGTGATATATTTCATGAATTACCTGAAATCCATCCATGTATCTCGGATTATGAAACCCATTCCTTATAGAAAGCCTCAAATTTCCTCACAATGTGCTTCAGGTTAAAAAGACATAAACAGAATATAGTATTCTAAAACACGCATGACTAATTCTAAGCATGCTGACAGGCAGCATGGAGTAGTAGATTAGGAGCTACCATCAGAGTCAGGAAGATCAAAGTTGAAATCCCACTTCTGACACATAATGGCCATGTGACCCTGGGCAAGTCACTTGATTTCTTAGTGACCCTACACAATTTTCTAACACCGTAAATTTCAAAGAAAGTACAGGTCTGCATTGGTAGAAAGGATTCCTCACTAGAAACTCTTCTATATCAATGAAATCATAGGTCCGTTAAAAAATGATGCTGAATATAAGAAAAAAGTATAAATTGAAAAAATTTTCTGCCATAGTGTAAGTGGGCACTCTGAAAGTAAAGTAATATAAATCCATAGATCAAAATGTCACTGCTCTGATAAAGACACAAATGATACAACAAAGTAAAAATGATTAAGTACAACACAGAGAAATATTAGAATATAAAAAATGTGTAGGAGTAGTAAATAAGATTGAAAAGGCCGTTATGGTCAAAGGGATAAAACTGGCATAAGATTCAAAGAAGGTGGTGAAAGAATATGATAATTTTCTTTAATTTGGGAACAATGAAATTGCCTAAGGAAAAAGGAAGAAAAAAGAAAAAGCTTGCCAAATCTCAATATATTAAAGCTCAGTTACAAATATTAGAGAGGTAAAACACAGGGCAGAAACTAATAAAAAAGAAAAAAAAATACTTTATAAAAAGTAATTTGAAACTAGTTTTTGTACTTCTCACATTGTAAAGTTCTGAAAGAAGCACAGTAATGTGCTTCAATGAAATGTGTATCAATGAATTTCTTTTTAGTTACGTGTTCAGAATACTCTGTATCTTTACGATAGGTATGACATAAATGGCTAGAAAGACACAAAAGAGACAGAAAAAAAATTCTCTTTAACCAATCCTTGAAATTAAACATAAGCTAACAGGTCAAAAAGTAAAGCTATTGTTAAAGTGTTAAAATAAAACAAACAATAAAACTAAGTCATAAAGGATGAAAAGACAGACAGTAAGTTAACTGTTAAAAGCATGTTATACAGTTATTAGAGTACCTATAATGTACCTTTTCATTGCTTGTCTTGAGAATGTTCACTTCTTTTAGAAGGAATGATATAGTCCTGTCTTTATCTACATTTTCGGTAATTTGACAAGGTGCCATAAAATCACAGAGTAGATCACTGTTTCTATGTTCTAAAATACTGCAATAAAGAAAACAAAAAAGTCAAAAGATGCATGATTATCATTATCATCATAAAGAATATAATAGAAATGTTTTAACTTTTCTAATGAGGGAAGCATCTGATGAAAAAAATTATAAAGATAAAAAGCTTTCTAATAAATTAATATTAGCTATGAACTTCTCTTATAGGTATTTATTGCAGACTAAGTGTAAATTTGGCTTAATCTAGGAGGTTCAAGGTTTTGTTGTTGCTGTTGTTTAAAATGTACTAGGCATTCAAATCTGGCCTCAGACACTTGATTCAAATCCGGCCTCTGACACTTGACACTTACTAGCTGTGTGACCTTAGGCAAGTCACTTAACCCCATTGCCTAGCCAAAAAAATAAAATAAAAAAGGGGACAGCTGGATAAAGGCGCAGTAGATAGAGCACTGGTCCTGAAGTCAGGAGGACCCAAGTTCAAATTTGACCTCAGACCAAACACTTGACACTTACTAGCTGGGCAAGTCACTTAACTCCAATTGCCTAAAAAAAAAAAAAATATTAGGCACTGGTAAACTATAAAAATCAAATTAAAATGACTTTAATAATTGAAATTTCAAATGCATGACACAAGAAGGAAAAGGACATAAAACAGAACTCTCCTTCAGTAGTCACTAAGTTAGAAAATGAAGGAAGCATGCTATAAGCAGTTCCATCTCAGGAAAAAATTTATGACAGTGCTCACTGGCCCCAAATCAATCCTTTTATAATTCAAATTATCAGGCTTGGCTGTCAGGTGGGACTAAACCAAGGGGTGGGACAGAAGATGGGCTGTGGCCACCAAAGCTTCAATAGCCGTAAGAATCCATCCAAGCTCTTACTCTATCACCATCCCTGGGTGACAAGTTCCCAAAAATTTTCCAGGGGACCTTTCGAAATAATCTCAAAAAATAGCCCTACAAAAAGGAAGGACATTAAAATATATATACACATATTATATATATAACAATGTAAATAATCACTTTTAAATGGCTGGAAAATGGTTTCATGAGAAATTTATAAAAAATTTTCCAGAATAAGAAAACTGTGAAGGTCAGGAGTAGTACCAGGAACACCAGGTTCATTGACTAGATGATAATATGTCCAATATTGACAATGGTCCCCTTCATAGATTTGGACCATATGAATAAAAATAACTAAGAATTTGAAGGCAATCAATCTGATGGCTCAACTGATAGCACCATAAATTCAGTGTTCTCAGTCCCACCAGCTAAAAATCTTTCCTCTCTAGGAGCACCACTGTGGGCCTCTAATGAAGGCCTACAATCTTCTTTTACAGGGATACGATGAAAGTACCCTTTCACTTTCATCCAAGAGTCTAAATTCACTATTAAATAAGTCAAAGAATCCCTCTTCTTTCAAATGAACTCCCCATCACAACAACTGTAATAAAAGATAATTTTATCATCCTTATATCATTGAAAAACAAAGCCTTTCCCAATAATTCAAACTCTTTGTCCCTCAAGCCATTCTAGGAAAGGAAACTTGCCAATTAAGGCAAAATTAATGAATCTACCAATTAAGAGGGAACTTGAACCATTTGTCCATATTGTACAGGTGCTTTGGGGTGGGGGAGGGGGAGATGTTAGAATCCATTCTGTGGATATACATCTTGATTCATATTGACTGATTTCTTCTAAGAAAAAAAATCTAATGATGCCTCATATATATACACACATATATAATGTTTTTAATATTCACAAAGAATTTTATGTATATTACCTCATTAGATCCTCATAACAAACCTATAAGGTAAAGGTCTACAAGTATCTTTGCTTTACAAATTAAGGAACTGAGCATCAAAGAGTATGAGCACATTGCCCACAGTCCCACTGCTAGGAAGCATCTGAAGCATAAAGTAAACTTAGGTATTCTTGACACCAAGGACTTGGAACCCATTATGCTTCACTAACATTCAACACCACGGAACAGAAATAATAGAATACCATGCTGGAGACCCCAAATTCAATTATATAAATAAAAACTGCAATAGGAGAAATAAGACCCAAACTGAACAGGGTATACATTTCTCCCTATTCTTGCTTTCTGATCTTAAATGTAAAGCATTTAATACTCACTCAGATTTTTCAGTAGTAGAATAGGTAGTACCATCCTCTGGGTAGAAGTCAATGACTTGAAAGCTCCTTGGTTTATCCATCAGAAGCTTTGTCTCCTCAAACATAATCTGTTTTACTAATTCATTATATTCATGTTGCATGCATCCAGCAGAATTGGTAACAAGTTGGTCACCTGGTTGTGAATTTTTCTTTTTCAATATAGTCTCTTGTTCATGGGAACTTTGGACTACATCTGAACATTAAAAATACAATTTGATTTTAATTTATGATTGAAAAATGAATACATTTGATTTTTAGAGAAACTCTGTTTCAGCTTTGCATACAACGCTTGCTTATTATGATACTGCTATTAATTAGGCAAGTCTATCCTGTAATGGTTGCAACTAATATTCAATTCCATGAATAAATGGCTAGGGAGGACATTTTTAGAGCATTTCTTCTTTCCTCATTTCTCCTTTCATTACTCAGACAAATAGAACACAGATACTACACAATCACATTTTTAATTCACAAATATAAGGACTAGTAAGCATTGGATTATTAGCCAGGAAGTATGAACTTTATTCCTTGCTTCATGTTAATGAAGGTGCCTCACTATTTTTTTTTTTGCCCAGTTGCTTAGTACATACTAGCTATATTACAGCCATTTTCTAAAGATTTAATGTTAAATTCTTGGAAGAAAGTTCACTATAAACATAAAATTCAAAAGGTAAACATTTCCATCAGCAAATCAAATAAACATGCCTAAGTGCTGACTGCTGTGATAGCTGATATGATTCTAATACAAAAGATTCTTGGCTTTCAAATGATGGCTAAAACTTTACTAATTCCTGTGGTAGGGGAGCTGTGGGATAAAAAGAGGTTAAAGAAAACTTGTAAATAGGATTACAATATTCTAAGCAGAGAATAATATTTCTCACTGGGGAATCTCCCAATAAGAACAAACTGAAATAAATGTAAGCTAACATCATAATTTTCATGTGTTTGATACTATTTCAACAACATTATTAAGCACTACATTGGAACTACAGATGACACAAAGATAATTGACATTGCCCTCAAGGAGTTTATTAGAAATCTAGTAGGGGAGATACAAATATCAAAATAACAATACAAATCATGTTTAAGGGAATTATAAGAAAAAATTTTCCTCTGTAAAAAAATTTCCTGTGTAAGGTAGATCAAAGAAAGCTAGTCTGGGATGGTGTAATAGATGTTGCTCTTGAAATGTATGTTTCAGCTGGAAGTAAAAAGTTATAAGGGAAATTTTTTAAATTACTTTTGATTTCAGAATAATTCAGTGAAAGGGAAATAGAATTTCATCATCCTGATTAAATGTTATGACATATCTATTTCAAAATCTGTTATAAATTGCAGTTCAAGAAATCATAAATCTAAAGACTGTTTTTTTGTTCTATTACAAGAGCACTAATTCCTCTATAACTACAAGATTTTTATCCTCTTCTATTTCCCATACAACTTGACACTGGCAACATATAATCAGAGTTTACTTCACTAGAGTATTTTTTTTGACTGAAGCTTACTATATTCTTAACAAAACAAATAATTTATCATTGAAATATCGTTCTATAATTAATTTCTATAAAAAGCAAGTACAAAACTACAAAATACAACTATATGCTATCTATGAAACATGCATGCTTAACAAAGTCATATAAATAAAAATCACCAATAATCAAGTTGCAATTTTATTTATCTAAAAACTTCTTTAAAGGGTCATAAAACTTAGAGCTAGAAGGGACTTCAGAGATCATTTAGACCAACTCACTCATTTTACAAATGAGGACACTGAGGCTTAAAGAACCCAAGAAGCCACATTTTCTGATCATTCATCCCTGTCATGGTTCAAAAGCTCTGTCTGGAGCCTTCTTCTCTCTGTACTATCTCTCGATACCTCCATCAGCTTCCATGAGTATCTCTATGCAGGTAACTGACAAATTTATATATCTAACCCCAGTATCACTATTGAACAGCTCTGCATCAATAAATGTTTGTTGGATTTTTCAGACTGGATGTCCTGGACATATCTGAAAATCAACATTACCAAAAGAGAAACTCATTTCCCCCCAGCTCCACCCCTCTTTCAAACTTCCCTGTTTTTTTCAAGGATGCTCTATTCTTCCAGTCTCTTAGGTTCATAAACTTGACATTATCCTCAATAACATAGTCTGGATCACTCTATTTTTCAATCATTTGCTAAACACTGTATTTCCTTCATCAATAACATTTTTTGCCTTTTCTTTACTCACATAACAATCATCATAACTGAAGTTATTATGATGCCTCACCCAAACCATTGCAATGACCTCCTGACTGGTACCCTGCCTCAAGTCTCTCCAAAATCAAATCCTCCACAGAATTATCAAATTATTTCCTTCAAGGGCAGACCTTACTATATCACACTCCTACTCAAAAATAAACTCCAGTAGGTCCCTGTTATCTCTGGGATAAAATATAAACTCCTGTGTTTGATTTTTAATGTCTTTCAAAATTTTATCCCTATCTTTCTAGACTTAATGTACGACATTCTTTTTCCCCATACTTTGTGATTCACTCACTCATGGCATTCTGTTTGATAAAGAATGTCTCCAAAACAGTAATGTTCTGCAAAATATGATGTCAGATTTGAAACTCAAATATAAAGAATTAGAAAATCTGGCAGAATAGAATAAAAAGAAAATGACACTAGTAGATCATATGAATACCATATAAAATAGACTTATCTGATACATGAGTTACCAGAGTAGAAGAAATTTCCCAGGGAAAAAATATGAATTAAGAAGATTGAATATTGTATTTCTGTTATAATAAAAAATGCCTAAAATTACTTGAAATCAAAGGCAAAGATTGATATAAGCTACAAATTGCTGACAGAGGAAAACCCTGATTTTATATGCCTAAGAAAAGTAGTGGTTAAATTTCAGAATTTCATTATCAAACAAAATATATTAAAGGCTGCTAAGATCAAAGCCACAATATATAAAGTATAACAAACAGAATACTTCAAGATTAGTCTTCACTTATTAGAAATCAAATATACTAGAATATGATATTCTGAAAATCGGAGACCACATTATACTCCCAAAGCTGCGTATAATCATGAATGATAAAACATGACTTTCAATAAGATGAGGGGAATTCAAGTCATTCTTTCAAAAGAAACCAGAATATAACAAGTCCAACCATAATACCAGTAGACCAATGATGAAGAAAGCTATCCATGTTCCAACAAAGAAGTAGCAGACTAAAGATGCACACTGAAATATATATTGTTGATATGATTTGCTCAACTGCGAATATTTATTACAAGGGATTGTGCTTTTTTCTTTATTTTTTTTTTAACCGGGGAAAGGGAGCAAGAGGGACACTGGAGAAAGAGAAAAGAAACCCTTAAAAATCAGAAATACTGTTTAAAAAAAGGAAAAAAAAAAAGAATGGGTGGGGGAGGGGCAACAGCAGAAAGGACTTTGAACTTGATTTTTAAATCACTGGGAAAGAGAAGGCTATGAAGAGGGAAAAAATTAATTAAAAGAAAACATAATAGGGGGCAGAGCCAAGATGTCAGAGTAAAAGTAGTGACTTGCTTCAGCTCTCCCCCAACCCCTTCAAATATCTGTAAAAATGGCTCAAAACAAATTCGAGAGCAGCAAAACCCACAAAAAGACAGAGTGAAACAAATTTCCAGCCCAAGACAACCTGGATAGTTGATGGGAAAGGTCTATTGCCCCAGGCTGGGAGAGGAGCGCAGTTCAGCATGGGCAATGCAGGCAAAGATCAAGGCCTCAGCAAATCTGGATGAGGGCTCAGGGGACTGAATCACTAGCAGCTATGGTAGTTTCCAGACTTCTCAATCCATAAATGCTAAAGTCAACTTAGGTCAGTAGGAAAGTTCTGTTGGACTTGAGTGAGAGAGGAGCATGGTCTGGTCCCAGCCCTGACATAGCTCTAGGACAGTGGTGGTGGCGGCTGCTTCTACCCTGATATTCTAGAACCAGAGGGTAAAACAGAAATTGAAAGATCACTTCCTGAAAGAGATCCCCAAAAGAAAACTCCTAGGAATATTATAGCAAAATTCCAGAGTTCCCAGGTCAAGGAGAAAACATTGCAAGCAGCCAAAAAGAAACAATTCAAGTATTGTGGAAACACAATCAGGATAACACAGGATTTAGCAGTTTCTACATTAACGGATCAGAGGGGCTTGGAATATGATATTCTGGAGATCAAAGGAGCTAGGATTACAGCCAAGAATCACCTACCCAGCAAAACTGAGTACAATCTTTCAGGGGAAAAAATGGATATTCAATGAAATAGAGAACTTTCAAGCATTCTTGATAAAAAGACCAGAGCTGAATAGAAAATTTGACTTTCAAATACAAGACTCAAGAAAATCATGAAAAGGTAAACAGGAAAGAGGAAACATAAGGGACTTATTAAGGTTGAACTGTTTACATTCCTACATAAAAAGATAATATTTGTAACTCATGAGACCTCAATATTCAGGTAGTTGGAGGAAATATATATAGATATATACAGACAGAGGGCGTAGGGTGAGTTGAATATTAAGGGATGATATGTAAAAAATAAAATTAAATAGTGAGAGAGAATTGTACTGGGAGGAGGTAAAAGGGAGAGGTAGAATGGGGTAAATTATCTTACATAAAAGAGGCAAGAAAAAGCTTTTACAATGGAAGGGAAGAGAGGAGAGGTAAGAGGGAATGAATAAATCTTACTCTCACTGTATTTGGCTTAAGGAGGGAATAACATACACACTCAATTGGGTATGGAAATCTATCTTACCCTACAGGAAAGTTGGGGGGAAGGGGATAAGCGATAGGTGATAGAAGGGAGTGCAGACTGAGGGAGACAGTAATCAGAAGCAAACATTTTTAAGGAGGAACAGGGTTAAAGAAGAGAATAGAATAAACAGGAGAGTAGGATAGGATGTAGGGAATTATAGTTAGTTTTTCACAACATGACTATTATGGAAGTGTTTTGCATGACTACACACGTATAACCTGTATCAAGTTGCTTGACTTCTCAATGAGGGTGGGTGGGGAGGGAGGAAGACAGAGAATTTGGAACTCAAGAGTTTTGAAAATGAATGTCAAAAATTGTTTTTACATGCAACTTGGAAATAAGATATACAGGCAATGGGGTATAGAATTCTATCCTTCCCTACCAGAAAATAGAAGATGAAGGGGATAAGAGAAA